ACTACTCATCATATTTCTTTGAAATTCTTACAATTTGTTTTTCAAGTAATCTGATCAAATATAGGTTTCAGAACATTATCCAGATTATTTTGTGGCCATGAAGAATTTCAAAGGAGGATTTCTTTTCCATCTCCATTTCATCTTCATCCAGCAGAGTTTTCTGGATTTTGGGAGCCAATTGTGATGTCATCCAGAGATCTGGTTGTACCCTTGTTAGCATGCTGCAACAATTTTGTGCAATATTATGAAGATAAAGTTCTCAAAGACCTAACAATGTTAGTCTATTTTGGTATGTATAAGAAAAAAGAAAAGAGGGAAGGAGGAAAAATAGAATTGTAGCTCATTAAAGACTATCAAATGTATTTCAGTGTAAGCTTGTGAATAAGACTTCACTTCCTCAAACACATGGAGTGTAGTATTATTTTTCAGGTGGGAACCGGAAAAAGATTGATGGACACAGGCAAATAAAATGTTGAAGTGACAATAGCATTAACAACAATAATGAACATTGAGAGTGTTAATAACATAAACATTGTGGCCATTATTACGGTGGTCAACTATCAGGTAAGTATAGGTTTGTTTTTGAAGTGCACAGCTGCTGAATCAGGCTTTTTTCTCCCTGAATCAACTTTGGATTTTGAGGCCAGAATCAATAATTATTTTTCTTATGCAAAATTGCAAAGATAACTTCTTATTAGTACACATAGTGAGCTAAGAAGCCTTGATCTTTACTTAAGCCTTGAAACACATTATGGAATTTGTGAATATAATCTACTTCATCTACCTCCCTCTCTGCACTTATCAGAGCAACATCTTTGCACTTCAAAGACAAGCCCGTGTGCACTTGATACACTGAATCACTCTAGTTATGGCCAGGATGTTTATATGTAGAGATGGGCACAAACCTCAAAAGGGGTAAGGAGGCTGGGCTCACAAGATGAAAACTATGATTGGCTGGTTATTAATATTCCCTTCCTGGAAACAGCATTGTGTTGTGGCTGCTGAACAACTCCAAGCTCTACTAACTTTTCTGAACACATTTCTTTCAGCCTGGATTGGAATTGAAACTGCTTGGCTCTCTATGGAACGTGGTAGGTGCTGGAAAAGAGACAGTAGACTACAGACCACATTCCTGTTCCTTCATTTCGATCTTACAGTGGTTTTGACTAACAATAAATATATTTCTGAGTTGGGATATGGGGCCCCTGAGGGGGCTTCCTTTCCTACCTGATGTTCAATTCCCATCATTTTTGTCATTTATGAAAAGTTTTGATATTTTTATTCAGGAGACATGCTTATTATCTTAGTTGTTATTAATTGGATTTACTTCATACACTCTCACCGCAACTCCTGCAGTAGCTAGAGGTCACCCAAAAGGAGGGTTGGCTTGTCTAATATCCACCTCAGTGGTCTGTGCTGTTTCACTACTACCATCTTTAAGATCTACTGACCTTCAAGGGACTGGGAAATTTTGGTTGTGAATGTTTATATTCTGCCTTATTCATCTCCTTTCTACTACGAGCATTGCTGGTCTGATTTAGAAATGTACATATATGATCTTGAGACAAAATTTCATGGAGCGCAAACAATACTGCTTGGAGATTTTAATGCACGTCTGGGCAATGGCCATTTTAGATCTGCCTATGCTGAGCATATTGGTGACTTTTATAATCAGTCAAGAAATACAAAAGACCCCCTTCTGAATAAGACTGGAAAAAGGTTTTGGCAGCTGATCGATAAGCTAAATCTGGTAATATTAAATGGTAATTTCCAAGGTGATGAATTGGGGGAGTTCACATATTTCACTAAAAATGGAGCTAGTTTGATGTTCAATTCCAGACAGTATTGCCAGAGGATTATAGCTTTGCCTCTTCACAATTGTGATGTGAGAGTTTCACATGGCTCTATATTATTCCTCATATGTTTCAATAACTACATGATAGTTTGGGTATGTAGACTAAAGTGTAATTAATTGCCAGATTTTGTTTTGCTGTGTGTTGTCAAGTTGTGTCCAACTTATGGGGACCCTAATAGTGTTTTTTGAGATATATGAGTGGTTATACTCTTGCCTCACACACATACACAGTACGTTTCTCCAGCTTAGCTGGGACTTGAGTCCTAGCCCATCATCTTGCTATCCGTTAAATAACAGTGGCTGTCTTTTAAGCAGAAGACACTCAGCTATATCTCTCCCTTCAACATGACACAGATGAGACTTTGAGTTTCTGAAACATCAAGGTCTGCAGAGTTTTGGTCTTTGTTCACTGTCACTAGAGACACAAGTGACTTTGGTGGGCCAAAGTGACTTTTATTAATGCAGGCTAACATGCTAACCATGATTCTGCAATAACAGAGGTGGCTTTCTGAGTTACTCAGGAATCTCACCATCTGGTTTACTAGAATGTATTACACAAGGTACCGCCCTTGAAAGCAGTCTGAAAGGTTTGGTTAGTCTCTAACGGACCCTGCAAAGACTGCTTACATGGACAGGCTGATATGGTATTACTTCAGTACTTTAGCATTTATATTGACAGCCAGCTTTGTTTCAATTTCAATCATCTAGCTTTAATCTTTGAAGTCCTAAAAAGTGCAGTAATTTAACTAAAGATATGGGAATATTCTCCCATTATTATATGTTTAATTGCAACTTCATATTGTAGCTTGCTGTCTTTTCATCGTATTTGTTTTAAACTGTTTTCAGACACTTCTGCTTGTAGCACTGGAACAAAGACTAGGTATCAATAAAATGGAGATAAATATCTACCAGTTCTTACTCTGAAGTCCTCATCCAAGCTCCTTCCTTTCAAATACCCTCACTACATAATGCAAGCTGGCTGGCTACAAGAGACAGGGCCTTGGCATTTGTACAGTGGTGCCTCGCTTGACGAGGATAATCCGTTCCAGCAAAATCGCTGTAGAACGAAATCGTTGTCAAACGAAAGTAAAAATCCCATTGAAATGCACTGAAAATCGGCTCAATGCGTTCCAATGGGCGAAATACCTCAGCGTCCAGCGAAGATCCTCCATAGGGTGGCCATTTTCCGGTGCCTGTAATGCGAGGAATCCATCCTAAAACACAGCGGGGAGCCATTCTGCACAGCGGGCGGCCATTTTGAAGCCCCGACGATCAGCTGTTTTGATCGTCATTAAGCGAAAAATCGGTTCCCGAAGCAGGGAACCGATCGTCGTAAAGCGGTTTTTCCCTATTAAAACAATGTATTGTGATCGCAAAAACTTCATCGTTAAGCGATTTCCTCATCTAACAAGGTAATCGTCAAGCGGGGCACCACTGTATTTTAGATGCTTAATGTACAGATAGTTTAAAAGCGCCCAAAAAACAACAACCTAGTCTCAAATTTTTTTTTCTAGTATAGGAGTACTTTTTAGAAAGTATTAGAGGTCAGTTCCACATTATTTGGCAGAAGAAAGTAGAAGTAACACTTCCACACAAGAAGATACAGATTTCTTAAAGTAATACAATACACTGAATCAGAATGCAATACACTATAGTAGCAGGCAATGTTAAGAAAAGTCTGCTGTTCCCCCGAATTTGCAAATGAAGAAAAAGTTTCTGTGGGGACAGGGAGAGCAAAGGAATCATCTTTAAAAGGAAGTCAGGAAAAAGGTGTCAGAGCATACTCTAGGAACACTGAAGGTCTTGTTAATGGGACAGGCAAAGTGGTCCAGAATAACAACATTCTAGACATGGGTTCCTGCACTATCTGAAGGGTTAGGGCAAATTTTCTGAGTATTCCTGAGTATGGAAGAAGGCTTTGATGACTAGAGAGTTCAATGCTGCTCCTAATGTACTGAAACACAGGAGTTGGCTTTAGAACAAAATTGATCTGGTTAACATTAAGGCCCAGATCTTACAAGAGGTCAAAGGCGAACATTAGTATTTTTCTCAGTGAAGTATAATTGGTCCACTAATGGTGAAGTCAAGGACGAATGTTGGTTTCTTTCCCAATGTAGTATAGTTTTCCCCACTAACATCTAGTTATCTGTGTCAGGAAAAACACAATTCCTCATGTTCAAAGAAAAACAACCACTGGAGCCATAACACTTAGTGAAAATTTTGGGTTGCTTGGCAAGGCCAGGTAAAATAATCTTGAAACATTTGCTGACCCACAGTAAAGGAATCAACAGTAGCAGGGAATCAACTGAGATATAGAAATATGCATCTTTTAACTCAATAACTGCAAATCAGCGTCTCTTCTTTAACAATGGAAGGATCACTGAGATTGTTATCAGAAAATTTCTTGGTCCTAATATTCACACCAATGACACTTAAGATGAGACTCAGACCTTTGCTGGACTGTAAAATATTAGGAGAAGAATCACTTGTGTTTTTTAGTGCAGGAGACACAAGTATTCTTTTGAAGAGTGGGAACATCCTGGTGAAGAATAAAAAAAGAAGGGGTGTAATGAAAGCCTCTAACTTGTCAAAAGGAGTCAAATTCTATGGTAAATCCCTGGATTAGATTAAGGCATACCTAGATAGGCATAGGTTCCCATGTAAGTCATAAAGACCACAGAGAAGAACCTCAGACCTCATCAGAACTGAGAATACCGGAAGGGACAAGCAGAAAATCAACAGGCAGGGAATTCCGTTAGTTTTAATATAAATAACACATGTGGGATAGTGGATACTGATGGGCTAAGTCTCAGGAAGTCTGGGTTTGAATCCCTGCTCAGCCATGGAAACGCACTGGGTATGTGGAACTGGTAAAGCCATTCCTTATCTCACTTGCCTTGAAAGGCCTATTAAGGTTGCTGTAAGTTGGTTCTGCTTTGACCCACACACACACACACACACAAAATACCTGCTACCAAAAAAGCTGGTGGGCAGTTCTACAGTTCATCACAATATAAAGGTATCCCTTGCATATGTTTGTATGCTATGACCTGGACTTGCTATGCTTTCAAGCTTGCTTTAATGGAATAAATCACACTAAGATCACTACAAAAAAGAAGAGATGGGGGTTAGAAAAAGAACTTACCTTGACTGCTAATATTTTCCCACTGAGGACATGGTTTGCTCTGCATCCAGAAAAAAAAACACGTATCAGTTGAACAGACAAAAAAAATCACATTAATACTTTCATTTGAGAATTACATCCATAAAAGTTTTCCAGCTAATGTTGCTTCTTAGCTATTCAACACGTTAACTGATTAAATCAAATTCTAGTTTCTATGAAACTGTCCCCTTAGAAGCTCCTTCTATCTCTGGAACAGCAATCAATCCCCTTCAACATCTGAATGACAGGACTGAATAAAGTCTATTTACCATGCAACATGGTCAAGTGGTTTAGGAACCTGGCTGCAGAGCCAGAGGAGGGCAGTTCAATTCGACACTGTGTCTCCTGGGAGAAGAGCCAGCCTGTGTAATCATGGACAAGCTGCACAGTCCCAGGACGTTCCCAAAAGAAGCAAATAGTAAATCACTTCTGTGCATTCTCTAACTAGAAAACTCTGGTCACCATAAGTCAGAATTGACTTGATAGCACACAATTATTAGTAGTATTATGGTCAACTAAGAACCCAAGAAGATTCTCATTTCTCACACCTATCCAGAACTACAGAATGAACCAGTTACCAGGTACCACAATACATCTGTGAAGATGCTCAGTCATCCAGGTGAATACAAGGTTATCTGGAAGCTGAGTCACAGCAACCGGACTTCTTATTAGGTTGAAAAGTTTCACTACTCATCCAAGCAGACTGAAGAAGCTGCTTGGATGAGTAGCGAAACATTTCAACCTAATAAGAATGAAGTCCAGTTGCCATGACTCCCAGATACCACATTACATGGACTGTGTATGAGTTAGCAGGTCAGAAAATGTGCAAGAATAACCTAAAGGATGAAGGACCCACAACATAAAATGCAAAGAAACTCCCTAATCACAAAGGCTGGTGGACTGCAATCCTTGGTGACTTTGTTCCTATATTTAGGAAAGGAATATTTCCATGTCTTCTCGTTTCATATATGCCTTTGTTTTTAGTTTACAAATGTGACTTTGTTCAAAAACAGTACACAAGAGAGATTTCATTGTCGCAAATTTTAAAGCTTTGCAGTATCTGCTGTAAATCCTAAATGCACTTGAAGAAAAAAAGCATTTAAAAGCAGCAGTAGTAGCACATCTACCAAAGTGACAACTGATAGACTGACAGCGGAAAGCTCAATCGATATACCAAAGAGAGTAAGGAGAGTAAGGTCATCAGGTAACTATGGACGAAACCAACAGTGACAAAACATTTTGACTTTCCGATCTGCAAAAAAGATAAGAAAACAAGCAACTGAGATAGCATGCTTAGCGTCTGTTAGTTTAATATGTACTGTGCCGGGCAGTTTGGCAACTTAATTAGCTTGTCAAGAAAGCTGATCCTCGCCCCCCCTCCTTCTTCCATAAAGGGGAGGGGTGTCTTGTTTCCAAGTGAATTAGAAAGAAAGACTTGATGATTTAATTATGATGCACGCCAATTCATCCGTGGAAGTTTGGGTTAAATTTCCAGCAAAGAGCAAGTACCTGGTTTGGTTTACAGAGCATTGACAGTAGCAATTTAACATTTAATTATCATTGAGAAAGAGATCACAAACCAGATACCATGCCCAAGGGGGCAGAGCATCCTTTTGCTTCTGCAAGTGCCACACTATCTTAAAGAAAGGAAATTTGTTTACTTCTGACCACCATGGCATCTCAATTGTCCTGACCTCCTCCAGCACATTAACTGTAAAGTGATTAATGGAGTCTGAATGGGAGCTTTGGTTACACCAAAGGAAAACCGAACACCTTGACAGTATTTTAATTAACAGCCAACACTTCAAATTAGGCTGTAGCTGCTGCAGTAATTACCTGTCCCAATGAGTTTGCTGGAGGAACATTTTCTGTCCCAACATATGTACAACTACAAATGGACCTTGGTCATTCAAATTATGTACTTGCTACCTTGATTCAATTGTGGAACCCAATTCTAGGCCACACATAGAGCTCTTACATGTACTGACTCCTGTATTTGATTCAATATATGAAGAGCCACCCATCAATGAGCCAACTTACAGTGGACCCTCGACTTATGGAATTAATTCGTATTGGAACAGTGGCTGCAGGTCAAAAAGTCTGTAGGTCGAGGCTCCATTGACCTGCAATGCACTGAAAACCGATTAATCCATAACTGGCCGTTTTTGTTCCGTTTTTTTCCCACTCTGTAGGTCAATTCTCCGGCTGCAAGTCAAACCTAAATTTTGCGGCCAGAGAAGTCTGTGACTCGAAAAGTCTGTAAGTGGAGCCATCTGTAAGTCAAGGATCCACTGTACTCTGTTAAAGTTGGCAAGGACAGAGGTGCCCCACATGCTGTAATTGCTGTAACTTTAAGATAAATCTCTTAAACAATAAATGGTTTGGTTGTGTGATTATGGGGTCAATATTTATAAACAAACAACCTAAAAGCTGAAGATAGTTCAGTGTTTATAATCTATGGACTGGCAAACCAAGATGATTGAATTAAATAAAATCATAGAATCATAGAATAGTGAAGTTATAAGGCCATCAAGTTCAATCCCCTGCTCAAGGCAGGAATCCAAATCAAAGGATATCTGACAGGTGGTTGTTTATATTTATCTTGAATAGGTAAAGGTGAAGGTTCCCCTTGACAATTTGTCCAGTAATGGCTGACTCTAGGGGGTGGTGCTCATTCCCATTTCCAAGCCATAGAGCCAGCGTCTGTCTGTAGAGTTTCCGTGGTCACATAGCCAGCGCAACTAGACACGGAACACCATTACCTCCAGTGTTGGAGCACTCACCACTTCTCAAGATAATTGATTCCACTATCTTACCACTCTAACAGTTAGGAAGTTTAATTGTAAAAATAGTTAACAAGGAGCTAAACATCCTGTAAAATAACTATATCATTCCGGTTCCTTTCCTTGTCCCCAGATAACTAATGATCTCACTAATATGTACCTATACTGTATAACCCATTCCTGGGGCAACAGATCAGCTGTAGAATAAGTATACTGTACTATACCCTAATCCTTACTATATTTAACCTGTTTTGCCCACCAAATCAGAAAACCTGAAGGATGATAAACATGGGCAGTTTTCTTTTTCCAAGCAGGACTTGGAACAGTCATTTTAATCTGCTGTGAAGATTATGTGCTTTTTCTGCCTATCTTTCCTAATTTATTTCCTGGCCCAAAATATGCCAGTTGCTGCCTTTTTTGATAGCTCATCCTAGGAACACAAAAGCACAAACCTCCCTATTAATGCTCATTATTTGGAACTTTCTATATCCCTCTACAAAGGACAGCATTTACGCAGGACTCGCACAATTGTGTCAAATATTTTATTAACCTTGACTATTAACCATATCTCGAGACATTTGAAGCCCTGAAGGGACCAGCATGGGCCAAGTCCATTTTGCATAACTGCAAGCAGCTACAGTTTGGAAAATTCAAATTCTTCCCTGCAGGGTGTTCTGAGAAGGCAATGTGCCCAGACCTGGTAAGATTGCTATTTTGGGCACATAGAGACAGACTGTGTGATCAGAGGCACATACATACTTGCAGCTTCAGCAAAACCTTCCACATTTCTCCGGAAATGGGTTACATAGGCATACACTGGTGAAACTGTTATCTGGGGGCAGGGAAAGGAACAACAGCAATGATCCCACTTCACCTGACGGGTGGTGAAGAAGGAGCTATCAAATGCTATTTACTCCTACTGTGTACACACTTAGGAAAACTGACAGCTTCTACTGAAGAAAGAGCCAGCTACCCAGTGTGGGGTGTAGAGGACAGAGTGACAGACTTGGAGAGGAGACCTGTGTTCAGATCACGACGTGTTCAGATCATGGAAACTTGCGGGGTTTGGGTGGCATTGGTAAAACCATTCCTTGAATATCTCGTATTAGGGTCACTGACTTTGCAGCACGCGACACAATTTAGAACCACCTTATCCAGAACTGTCGATAATCCACAGTTCAGCAATATTTAAGGCAGTAGATTTCCTGCTACCGGAAGAATTATGTTGGCTTCGGCCCAAAATTTTCTGTTCCCTAAATGTTATCACTCTTCTGCGAGATTTGTCCAAAGCATAGCTGATGACACAAAGAGACTGTCAGTTCCTCCATCTTACTTTAAGCTGTATTGCTTCTCCCAGTTCCTTCTTGGTTTCAAAATGAAGAGGCCTCGTGGTTCTTAAAAGTCACAGGTTTCTGCAGTATGTGGAACCAAAGACATGCAATTTATGGGCTGCACAAGAAGTGTGCTGGTAGCTCAAAAAGGCTCTTGAAAGCAAAGATGCTTTAAATCATCCACACCTTATTTCAAATGCACCACTACTGCAAGGCAGCTATTGACTTGGCTCCATAATATATTACTCAGTGCTAGCTCTCAATGCTGACGAACTTCAGAATAAAAAAATATGGAGCACTTTCCCACCAATACTGAAATAATCAAGAGAAAACTCATCACATTCTCATCCATAATAAGTTATAAAAACTGAATATTATATACTGTGCAAGGATGTGATGGTCACCAGCTGCAGTCAACATGTAGCAAATCACACACAGAATTGGTTCCAGACTTTTCTATGCCTGCTAGATTTAGTGCTCTGCTCTACACTAATGTGCAGAGTTTCAGAATTTTAATTATGATATTTTCATGTACTGAAACTGCCATCTAGAAAGGAAGAGATTCTGATGGCTTCCAGGAAATTAGCACTTTGATAGTTGTTGCCTTCTGTAATAGGCAAGGCCATTAGCCTCACTGGCTGGCACTTTAAAAGAGGAAATTCAGAAGTGAGCATACGAGCGTTCTTGTACTAGAGAACAGCAGCTTTTTACTAAAGCTCTGCTTATTCAAATCAAACAACCTAGACCAATCTTCCTTCTGTCCAAAATCCCACTGCAGATGTTTGAATGATGACTGCAAAATGATTTATTACCAAATTGAAGTAATCCTCTGGCACAGCCTGATTGCCTGTAAAATGTAAACACTTCCACTGTCACTAGACCAACTTCATATGCAACAGAATGAAGAG